TCGGCATGAATTAAATTCGTATTATATTTTTTCTTTAGTACCCCTTATAGAAATATCATACTAAGAATCATTGATAATTACTTATTATCCAGTATTTTTAATACTGAAAATAAGTAATTATCAATGATTCTTAGTATGATATTTCTATAAGGGACGTTCGATATTAACGTACCCGTATTAAAACATTGGTGCGCGTCAAATTTAATACGCGTACTAACGTTTTGACGATGTAAACCAGGCCAATAATAGAAATTTTGATCACGAGTAGTACAGCATGTACAACACAGGATGGGATACGCACACACTTATGCGACAGTGTCCGTGAAGCTCACGAATACGGTCGCGCGAATGTGTGCGTATCCCTTTCCGTGCTAATGCGTGCTGCTCGCGAACCAAAGTTTCTATCACTACTCTACCGCTGCGATTATTTCTCGCCTGTGGTGAGACAAGAACAGATAATATTGATTGTTTTTGTCTAATATTAAGAATCGTGGACTTCTTTACCCACTGAGACAATTCGTGCACATTGGCTACGTAGTTTATGTGCACGGTTGGTTAGAGGCGCTGTAAGCTATTTCAGCTGAAATCGGTATCAGCTAAAACCGGCCCATGACTTCTTTTCTTCTTTTCTCTGCTTATACTGTGCCACGAGTGTTTTACATTATTGTTATATCAATTCGTGTGCGGCGCCCCTTAGCAATCTAGTTTACTATAGACATCTGGGCCCATATTCTGAATCCTCTTTTATCGATAAAAGTGCCTTGAAGATAGCTTCTCAGCCAATTTAGGGTACGTTCAGATTCCCTACCCGGGTGCACTCTAATACTAGAAGTGCTATAGTATATGTAACATATACTATAGTGTTTCTAGTAATAGAGTGCACCCGGGTAGGGAATCTGAACGCACCCTTAGGTGGCTCCTAAACCTCTTTTAGAGATACTTTTATAGATAAAAGATGATTGAGAATGGGTGCTTTCCAGTTGCGTACACTGTACGCGTCACATGCCCCACGTGCTCCTACTCGCTCCAACGCACTCTGATTAGTCCGCGTGGTGACGTAAACCAATCAGAGTGAGTTGGAACGAGTAGGAGCACGTTGAGGCTTGCGACGCGAACAAACCTTGTGTTGCACAAAAGTTTATTGGTTGCATATTATCTTACAAGATGTTTTAGATATTATGTGACCAATAAATTGGTTTTGTTTACGTGTGCGTCAAGATGGGTTAAGTAATTGGAAGCATCCAACACAGCTCTAGGCTGTGTTCCAAAACTCTACTCGACGGGTAGAGTAGCATTTAATTGACCAATAAGAACAAAGATAACTGGGATTTCTTTATCATGATTGATCAATTAAATGTACCCACCGAGTAGAATTTTGGAACGCAGCCCTCTGGTTGCCTGACATTGGCCGCGTTCAGTAGAACAAGTGATCAGTAAGCGCTCAGGGAGCTCTTGTATATGATTTGGCATATTCTTTTAGATCTCCAACTATACTCCAATCAGATGCAAGAGCTCACTGAGCGCTTAAGGCCTTCACACACACTTTCCGTAACAGTAACCGTAAGACGTAACGTAAGAATTGACCAATTACGATAGAGTATTCACAAAAATGGCGACCTTATGTTTCGACGATTCTCAACGTGATTGGTCAATTCTTACGTTACGTCTTACGGTTACTGTTACGGAAAGTGTGTGTGAAGGCCTTTACTGATCACTTGTTCTACTGAACGCGGCCATTGTGCATAGAGCGTAATTCAGGATTTACCTTTGACTCTTGTAGAACCTTAATTTTGCTACTCGCAACTTTTAATATTCATTAAACAATAAGGCATGTTAGTTATGGCTTCTTCTCTGAATTATGATTTAAAAGAGAGATTAGACGATAGTTTTACAGATTCGGCAATGTTGAGTTCACTATGCAAAAGTATAGCAATAGGTATGTGTTACATGTAACTAAAAATTTTGTTTTTGTAAAAATATTTTTGAAAGTATATTAAGGGAATATTTTCAGTATGTTAAGCACACCCCTTATAGAAATATCATACTAAGAATCATTGATAATTACTTATTTTCAGTATTAAAAATACTGGATAATAAATAATTATCAATGATTCTTAGTATGATATTTCTATAAGGGACTAATGTGTCATAATTTAAAAAATTAATGAAATTGTGAAAAATGTTCTGTTTCAGAAATAACATCAGGTTCTATGAAACTTTTTACATTTGTGGAAACACTGAGTTCCTACACAACGAGTGAAAATGTTCTTATAAGGGAAAAAGGTGTTACAGTTCTTTCTTCTGTTTTATCACAATTACCTCGAAATTATCTTAATGAATCAGAGCTACATTTTATCACAATGTTTTATTGTGACAGGCTAAGGGATCATGATAAAGTTATATTATCTGTGTTAAATGGTATTCTTGCAATTGTAAGTATTTGTCTATAACAGTTTGAACTATTGTTATGTCTGTCAGATTTTTACGTTCAAACTCTGTTTTAGGTTAACATGAGTTATTTACCTCAAGATTTGCTACTATTTCTCTTAAGATCGATATTTGAGCATATTCAGTGTCAATCTCAACTTGTACAAGAACGTCATAATATATATTTAATATTTAAAACTATAATAGAAAACAGATTAGATGATTTGAAACCCATGGGACTAGATTTAGTTGATGGTATCATTAGCACAATTGATGGTGAAAGAGATCCAAATAATCTCTTGTTATTATTTACTATATTACCATGTATTATAAAAGAATTTCCATTGGGTCATTTAACTGAAGAAATGTTTGCAGTTGTGGCATGCTACTTTCCTATTGATTTTAATTCTGTAATTATATGTATATATTACAAATTTATTTGTCATACAAAATCTCCAACATATAAATCTACTATTTATAAATATTTTGCAGTCTGGCAGAGGGGATCTGAGTTTGACAAGGGAAAATTTAGTAGAGAAATTAGCACCTTGTTTATATGCTACCTCAGATTTTGTGAATTATTGTATACCTATTATAATTGAGAAATTATATTCTACTCATCGAATTGCTAAACTTGATAGCTTGAATTTGCTACATGAAAGTGTTCAAACGTTTGGTGCATTAAAACTGCAACAATACTTATATGATTTATGGGCAGCTTTGAGGAAAGAACTTATGCCTGTGAAAGATGTTGAGATAGCAGATGCTGCTCTGGAAGCAATTGTATCTTTAATTAGAGTGATATCTACCAATAAAATTTCTTGCAAAGATTTTGTTGACAAAATAATTGCTGACACAAAACCATCATTATGCAATGTGCAACTTAGTTTATACAAACCAGCTGAAAAACTATTAGAAACAATAGCAACAATCAGTAAAGAAATATGTATACAAGTTGTGTTAGCTATAATACCTGTATGTATTGGACAATACTCCACAAATATTTCATGGGATGATAAAATTGAGTTGATAAAGACTTTAAATGGTGTTATGAAAGTATGTTTTGACCATAGATTTTGCATTCAGGGTAAGTATTACACCGATATTGATATTACCACAAATATTTCCAATTTTTTTACAGTATATCACTATACATATAATTTGTTTGTTATTACTCATTATTAATTATAAATAAAATGTAATCTAGATATTCCAGAATTAAGGTGGACAAATATATCTCAAATATACTTAGATGGCCTGGCAGTAGAAAACATTAAACTAAGAAGTAAAATGTTCTTTGGTTTAGTAATTCAAAGGTCATATCTAAATGAGACACAACGTTCTATATTGTATAACGCAATATATGATCAAATTGAAACGGGATGCGATAAAATACAAACTGTATGTCACACTACCATTCTAGAATTTGCTGTATTGTATCCTCAAGAAATAACATTGTTGCTTAAAAAGAGGTTTTTATTAAACGCAGGTGAGTTATATGTGAATTACAGACGAACTAACTTTTGTAAATAGAAATGGAAGTAATGTGTTGTTTGATTATTTCAGATAAAATGACGGTTAACTTATTGAAACGTAAAATAAGAACTTTATTAGCAATCGCAAAACTACGTGAATTGGGATGCATGATTCTACCAGAAATTGTTACAATGTTAACCAACAGCGTTAATACTGATGTATACGTTACAATATTACTGAATATTCAGAAGCTGATCGCTTCAGGAAAATCCGATTTTAATGTACATCAGTTTCTTTATGAGGAATGTCATATTATAGATAAATTAATTTCGTACGAAACAAACTGTATTGATCATAAAATGCTGATGTATAACGTTTGCCAATTAATTATACGAAATCTCACAGCTGAAAAACAACGTACGATTGTGATGAAGTACGCTGTGGTTTTGAATGCGAAATTTCCAGAAATAGACATTGTTATGATAATGAATCTTTTGATCCCTCTGCGGAAAGACGTAATCTTATGTATTAGCGATAATATGATAGAAAATCTATGCAATCTGGCCATTAGCAATCATAATCCGCAGTATACAAGACAAATAGCATGTAAATTTTTATCTATTTTATTAAATAAAATTAAGATCGGAGATCTTGATCGAATTTTATCTTATCTTGAAGAAAAAATAAACAATAATTTAAAAGCAGTTGACGTGGAACTGGAGCATGTAGTTGATTTACATATTTGGATAACTAAAGCGCTCATCATGAGAGGAGTTGGGAAGTCTCAAAATCTCTTAAAGAATGTATGTATATATAATTCTTGAATACAAGATTTTAATATCAAAGCGCTATATATATATATTTTTTCAAATTTTATTTTCGCAGCTCATACATTTACTAAATCACGATCGAGTAGGTCGATACGTGAGTCAACAATATCAAGTTTTAGTAAACAATCATGAGGACGTTTTAGTAAAGGAAAATTTCTGCGATATTAAATTTCTTTACAAACAAAGGATATTTGAATATTTATTGCAACAAAATAGCAATTTCATAAATTCAACGAGGCTGAATTATCTTATCGCATTAGTGTATTTGTTAGAAGAAATACCTACGGAATTAAAATTTTTACATTTAGCCGAGGTAAGTACATCACACGCGCTAAATATATCATTAATAAAAATAATGAACAAGAGGTTTTTTTTATTAATACATATATTGTTAGCTAGTGCCACTGTTAATAGAGTCATTGTCTCTCAACGATATGCAATTGGTTCTCTGGGCATTGAGATCACTCAAGTCTTTAATTAATACCAAACATGATATACTTTCTAATAACGTACAATGTATTATACCGAGACTCTTACAATTAATGATGAAAGAAATCATGGTAATTATTTATATCGGTTTTGATCTTTTTAAAATTATTCCCTTTTATTATAAAATAAAATTTATCATATAATGTTTCTGTGTTAATAGCATGTTAGAATTGCAGCATTGGAATGCTTGATATATTATGCCAATTATCCCACTGTCTTAATTTATCCGTACAAATGGCTCGTATTAGACAACCTGGGAATTACAATCGACGACCGTAAACGTTTAGTTAGGAAAGCTGCGGTAGAAGCGAGGACACGATGGTTCATAGTGGGTGTATCTGAAGAATCAAAAAATGAATGATTACTTAAACCTGTCTCTATGTAAATATTCTGTATAATAACTGTCTATCCTCTGTAATACTTTCTGTAATAAAATGTAAATTTCTATCGAATACTAACGTGCCACAGTCAGAAATGAATTCAAAGCTGTTTTTATTTATGTATACAGTTTCTATTAGTTTCCTAAATTAGATTTCTTTTCTAGATCAACTCCCTCGTCCCTGATACTATTCTTAATTAAATAAAGAATTGATCTTCGTAAATGGATTATAAGATCCGTAGCTAATATCGTAGATGTGTTCAGTACAGTGCAAGCATGGGCGATGGTAAGAACATATGATTTTAACATTTGTTTTCTAACAAAATATTAATCCTTATGGTAAATAAGTATTTTTGGTATCTTAGTAGTGAATAGTATGGTCATTCACGTTTGACGCATTTTCTCTCTTTTGTCAATTTAAAATTATATACAAATTTTAAAAATATTTATGCAACTTCTTTTAAGCGTTATATAATAGTTTATTTATATAGTTTCTTTCAAATTATATAGTATAGCTTTATATACTAGATCTTGAAATTATTTTTAAAACTTAAAGTTTTATATGATTTTTTAATTGCTTAATAAGAATCTACCAAAAAATTACTTTGTTTAAACAAATTAATGAAAATTTAAAAAATTGTTATTTATTAAAGCGTAACAATTTAAAAAATAGTTTAATACAGTATATCGAAGATGTATATATTGATATATCTTATATGATATATCTTTAAAAAAATTAAATTATTTGCGTGTGTGAAAATATATTTTTGTGTAAAGATGTAAGATCATATTTTCAAAAAAAGTAAAAGAAGAAGCCAAGTGCACGCGCGTTATTTGTCTTTACAAGAGAAAATCGTTCTAAATAAATTATAACAAAAGCTTAGCTAAAAGATATTTAAAAAAATATTATTAAAACAACCTCAAATCTAGTGAAAGCCTCAAATCTAGTATTAAAACAACCTATTCAGATCAATTGTACTCTCGCAAATACTCTATTGACAAATACAAAACAATTTTATACTTTCTACAAAAGTAATGATATCAAGAGGTTTACGTCAAGTACGAATGATCAATCATTTCAGTTTTTACTTTTATAAATATATATAGTTTTGGCTATATATTTATAAATTAAATATATTATTAATATATTAGTAATATATTAAATAAAAAATAAAATAATTAGAGAAATACAATAATGTTGCAAAAAAATTATAATAACTTACACAAAAAGCATTTGGTGTGCCTTTTTTAATATTACATCAAAAATCAATATAATATTTTGATAGTTATTAAAATAAGAGAACCGTCTACCCATAAAAAAAGGCAGGCCATCATGTTTAAAAAGTATGTAAAAAGTATATTTAAAAAATATTTACTTGTTTTAAAAGTAAATTACTAGTAAATTTATTTGTTTTAAAAGTAAATAAAATACAAAATCATTTTGTAAATTTAAATAACTTGTTTTTTAATAATAAAAAAAACTTTAATTTGAAACACGAAAAAGATATTTAATTAGAAAATAATTTATTTAGATGTATAAAATAATTAACTTGTATTTGATTTACTTTTAAAACAAGCAAATATTTATTTAATCACAGTTTTTACATAAAAAACTAATTTTTTTCTAATTTTCTTGTAAGGAAATTATTTTTTTTTCTAGAAATTCATAATTTTACAGCTCATTTTACAGCTCATTTTACAAATTTAAAAAAATATTACTTATATTTATTACATATATTTATTTATTACATATTTATTAAATATATTTATTACATATTTTCTATTTATTACATATATTTATTACATATTTATTAAATATATTTATCACATATTTTTTAAAATCTAACAAATATTTTTTTAAGTTAAAAAATTATATTAACAAAATATATTTCAAGAACTTTAAAGAACTTTTTTAATGTAGCTTGCCAAATCAAATTTCGATTTTCTTATTCTTTCATTAATTTAATAGTTATAAATAATTACATTTACTTTTTTCATATATACTATTTATAGAAATATTTACAAAATATTACTACAAATATTTATTTTTTGTTTACTATAAATATTGTATAAAATATTTAGTCTATATTTTAATAATATTTTGATACTTTTTTCTTTATGTATAGAAATATTTATATAATATATTTATATTATATTTATATAATATATTTATATTATATTTATATAATATATTTATATTATATTTATATAATATATTTATATTATATTTATATAATATATTTATATTATATTTATATAATATATTTATATTATATTTATATAATATATTTATATTATATTTATATAATATATTTATATTATATTTATATAATATATTTATATTATATTTATATAATATATTTATATTATATTTATATAATATATTTATATTATATTTATATAATATATTTATATTATATTTATATAATATATTTATATTATATTTATATAATATATTTATATTATATTTATATAATATATTTATATTATATTTATATAATATATTTATATTATATTTATATAATATATTTATATTATATTTATATAATATATTTATATTATATTTATATAATATATTTATATTATATTTATATAATATATTTATATTATATTTATATAATATATTTATATTATATTTATATAATATATTTATATTATATTTATATAATATATTTATATTATATTTATATAATATATTTATATTATATTTATATAATATATTTATATTATATTTATATAATATTTTTAAATTATATTTATATAATATTTTTAAAAATAATTTGACATAAATATTTATGAATCTTTATCATCAATATTGTGTGCTGTCTGGGAAAAAGCAGGTTCTTTAAATTTTTTTCAGAATAATTTATTTTTATAAAAAATGTGTCTTTATCTCCCAATGAAAAATTTTTCATATACAATTATATAAAATTATATAAAATTATATATAATTATACATAATTATATATTATTACGTATCAAATTTGTCCATTCATGTTTATACATTCTATTTATATATGTAATTATACATAATTATGTATAATTATATATAAGGTGTAGTAAAAAGAAATCCATTATTTTTGCATGAAATTGAAGACTTTATTTAGCATAGTTAGAATGATCCGATTTAGGTCAAATATGCACCGTTTTGTCCGATAACTTGTTGCCATTTTGAAGGTAATTCCATTATGCCTCTCTCATAGAAACCCTTGTCCCTATTGGCAAAAAACTAGGACAGTCGATTTTCACAAGCTTCTCTTGAGGCGAATTTTTCACCAGCAAAATCATTCGCCATAGACAGGAACAGGTGGTAATCACTTGGTGCCAGGTCCGGACTATAAGGTGGATGCATAAGAACCTCCCAACCAAGCTCCCGGAGCTTCTGGCGAGTCACTATCGATGTGTGTGGCCTGGCGTTGTCCTGATGGAACACAATTCCTCTCCTATTGGCCAAAGCTGGCCGCTTCTGGGCGATTGATTCCTTCAGACGGTCCAATTGTTGACAGTACAGGTCCGAATTAAGAGTTTGGCCGTAGGGGAGCAGCTCATAGTGGATGATTCCTTGCCAATCCCACCAAACACACAGCAAAGTCTTCCTGATCGTCAATCCTGGCTTGGCCACCGTTTGCGTCGGCTCATTGTGTTTCGACCACGACCGTTTTCGCTTGACGTTGTCGTAAGTGACCCACTTTTCATCACCAGTCACCATCCGCTGCAGAAATGGGTCGATTTTGTTGCGATTCAGCAGCGATTCGCAGATGGAAATTCGGTCCATGAGGTTTTTTTGCGTTAACTCGTGTGGCACCCATACATCGAGCTTCTTTTTGTATCCAGCCTTATTCAAGTGGTTCCAAACGGTTTTTTGTGCAATGTTTAGCTCCTGGGCAATCGAAACAGTGCTTACATGACGGTCGGACTCGACGATTTCCATTATTTTATAGACATTTTCGACAATTGGCCTTCCAGCGTGGTGCATCTTTGACATCAAAATTACCGGAACGAAATCGACAAAACCAAAATTGCGCGTGATTGGCTGTTACAGTATCAGGACCATAAACACTATTCACATTTTCAGCCGCCTGGCTTGCGTTTTCGCCTTTATCGAAGAAAAACTGTAAAATATGGTGTATTTTCTCTTTGCTGGTGTCCATCTTTGACGCGCGCTCAAACAATACTGAGTCAAACAATCACAAAACTGTCTGAGAAGTTTTTAGTACAAAATCTTATCTTTCTAACGCTATTTACCGTAAACCGATTGCACTTATACAACGCGAGATAGGGTGTATATCAGTTGGACACGGGGCAATTGGACACAGTCCAATCACAAGTCGCTGTTCCAAGGGACCCTACAAATGTCTCTAATCACACGGTGCTGTGATTGGCTGTGTCCAAATGCACCGTGTCCAAGTGCACCGCTCCCCGCGAGATACACATTACTAAAGCCATCTATTGGAAAAATAATGGATTTCTTTTTACTATACCTTATATCTCCTTTTTTTCTTTTTCATCTTTTTATCACCGTATTTATTTTTCTTACAATTTTTCTTCTAATAGTTCAATATTTATTGCATTTAGTTCTTTTTCTCTGTCTCTCTCCCTCCCCTTCTGTCCGCCTTCTTCTGCCTCACCCTCACCTTTTCCCTCTCTCACACAATGCGTCCCCAATCTGCCGCCAGACTATTGACAGGGTCTGCGAATAGACTCTGACGGCAGATTGCGCGCAGATCTTGTCGTTTCCTAGGTTCTTCAATTAAATTTTCTCATGATTTTTCATAATTACTCATAAATACTCATATATTATGAAAAAAAAAATTTTTCTACATTATTTTTTCATAATTTTTAATATTTTCTCTAGTGAGATTCGAACTTGAACTGAAGACATCTTTTGAATAATTGTCCATCGCCTTAGACACTACGCCAATTCCTCACTTGATAAAAAGCGCTTTGTATTGCCCATTTAAAGTTTAAGGAAGAAAAATATTATAGTTTGTTCGCCTTTTAAGCCGCAAAATATAGACGAAACCATTTAGAGTATAAATAATGTAAGAAAGACTGGTACGATATTTCGAAATTAATTTTCTACCAAGGAATGTATAGAAA